AAGTATATCATGGTATATTCTAGTTTGATATATAGTCTGTTATAGTATAATGCTTTACAGTGTATTTTTAGAAATTTCTTGCTTGTTGATTGAGACTCACAGCCATGGAAGCAGACAGTCACACAGAAAGGTTCAGAGTACTTTAGTATACTACAAATACACTATAATATGCTAGAGTATGCTAGAAAATATCATGATCAATGAACTGAGTTCTGGGGATTTTTTCTAGTCCGCGTGATTTGTGCGTTAGGCAGCCGGAGCACAGATCTCGGCTATCTCACGTCATCCCTGAACCCTAAAGCCTAAACCTCGAACCCCTTAACCCTAAACTCTCAGCTCAGACCCTAAACCCTACAATCTAAACCTTAAGCCCTATGCCCAGACCCTAAACCTTCGACCCTAAACCCTCCAGGACTTCCGCAGGGAGAGCAGCGTCCGAAAGGACGAGCAGAAGCTGCAGGCGGCCGTCCGGCTCTCTCCGTGGCTGCAATGTTCAGACTGTCTGTGATCTTCTTATTGAAGGTATTCCTATGATTTTAAGGTTTATAGGGGTTTGGGATTTTTTGGGTTTTGGGGTGTAGGGTTTAGGGTTTATAGGGGTTTAGGGTTCTGTTGGTAGTAACACTATTGTTGGCAATGATATTGATGCTCGTATTGTTGTTTTTTCTTTGGCCGGAGTCATGGAGTTCCTGACCTTGGAAGCACGGGGCGCTGCGTCCTTTTGCCTCAACCTCTAGGAAGTCGCCTTTTTGCGAGAAAGGGCCCCCTTTGCTCTTGAGAAAGCATGCCAGCAGCCCTAAACCGTAAACCCGAAACTGTGCGTCATCCCAGATCGCAAGCTTGTCTCAGGGTCTCAGCCGCCTTGCCGAGCGTCTCCAATTCGACGACAAGGCGCACACTTCGTTTCGCCGGTGTTGAGGGGGCCCTAAGGCCTAAACGTTTTAAGGGGGACCCTAAAGCCCAAACCCCAAACCCTAAACCCTAAACCCCAAGCCCTAAACCCCTTAAAGCCCAAACCCCAAACCCTAAACCCTAAACCCCAAGCCCTAGGCCCTAAACCCCTTAAAGCCTAAACCCCAAACCCTAAACCCTAAACCCCAAGCCCTAAACCCCTTAAAGCCCAAACCCTAAACCCTAAACCCCAAGCCCCAAGCCCTACTAAACCCCTTAAAGCCTAAACCCCAAACCCTAAACCCTAAACCCCAAGCCCTAAACCCCTTAAAGCCTAAACCCCAAACCTGCTTCGCGAAGTGACCATGTCCGGCCTGCTCGCTGAGTTTAGGAGCCTCCCTGGCAGCCCGAGACCTCGAACCTTTTGACTAGGGTTTAGGGTTTAGGGTTTAGGGTTTAGGCCTCCGAACCGTGAAGCCCCCCTAGCCAAAGCTAGCAACTCTGCATGAAGGTTCATGGGTAGTTATAAGTGGGGTTATAAGTCCCCTAACATTGGTTATAGTTATGGTTACGCTACTTATATCCCTACTTATAACTACCCGTGAACCTCCAAGTAGCCAAAGCTAGCAACTCTGTGTTCTGAGCCGCGCAGGAGAGCGCCGAGCTGAAAGATCTGACGCAGAGATTGCCCAAAAGCTGACTCCTTGAGTCAGCCAGCGGTGAAATGAAATCTTGCGAACTTCGAAGTGCAGCGGCTGCCTGTTTAGTTGAGAGGTAGACATCTTCAAAAACATGATGAAACAGATAGACAGATAGATAGACAGATAAAAAGGTAGATAAATAGACAGATAGACAGAGAGGTAGATGGATAGATAGATAGATATAGAATAGATAGATAGATAGATAGATAGATAGATAGATGAGATAGATAGCTCAGGCAGTGCTCGCCCCCCAAGCGCATTTCCCAAAACCTGGGATCGGCATTGTGCGGCCGATGCCGCAGGGATCGCAAGTCTGTCTCAAGGGCCTCATGCGCCAGCCTTGCCCGTAGCCGTGCGGCTCTACAGCACAAAGCAAGGCACAGCACCACGGTAAAACAGCAGAAACGGCACGTCTTGGTAAAGGAGGAAAGGATTCTTCAATTCCAGGGTCCGGCCATTGAGAGTATCAAAGCTTCTGATCAAGCTTGGCTCTCTCCGAGTTGACAAAGGAAGAGCAACAGGAAAACCTTACCGACATAAGGGGCCTAAATAAGTACCTATACTATTTTAGGGGCTCCGCATTATAATTGTAGTAGAATATACCCCAAAACGCCATTCTAATTATTCTAATTGCTCCTTATATAGTACAATAGACCCCAAAACCTATTCTAACTACTCTTATTCTTAAGGCCGCCACCCCCAACCCTAAACCCTAGACCCTAAACAATAAACCCTAAGGCCCCTACTCATCATGTCTGCAGCTCTGTAGCCATGGCCTCCCTGAGCTCGAAATGGCTTCTTGGGGGCGGCTTGGCCGTCGCCGGCACGTACTACGCCGCAGTGCCGCTCACCGGGGGTTTAGGGTTTAGGGGCAAGTGTGGAATTTCAGGTTTTCAGCCAGCGGCATTGTGTAGAGGCGTAGGAGTTTCACTAGTGTAAAGACTCTGCCGCACGCTCGCATCTTTCTCCGTGGCCTGTTGTTTTGCCGCGCTTTCGCAGCAAAGACTAAGCGAGATCCATGCTTTCCGCACCCAGACGCCATCTGCCCGAAGGAAGTACCGGCGCCCAGTGGTGGTCGTTGGAGGTGGGGCTCTTCGAGAATCCCGAAGCTGGGGCTCAACACACTTTGGGCTATGCATATTCACTGGCCCACTGTTGCCGCATCATCGTGCAGATATGCCAGGCTGTGCATGGGTACATTTAAACTCCACATCCCACAGTATTTCACACTGTGCCGTACGCTGCTGCTGCAACGTTGTGGGATGGGGAGGGGGTGGAACTCAATGCAGCCGGAACCCAGCCGGCGCCGCACAAGCCTTGCGTGCGAGTGGCGCTTTCGCTTTCATGACGACAGGTTCCAGGTTTCTGATTTAGCTCATGAGTCTGAGTGAAGGAATGGCAAGCCAGAGGGACAGGAGCGTGAGAGAGAGAGAGACGGCAGTACATGCCCCTGTCGCAAAGCAACATGAAGTGAGGCAAAGCGAGAGAGTGATGCAGAGAGGGCGAGCAGAGCGAGCAAGAGAGGGACGGAGAGTGGATTTCCCCAGCTGGTGCCTGAAGGCGGTGTTATGGGGCTCAGCACCGCAGCTCGGCTTGCAGAGCGGGGCTACCGCGTCGTGGTACTAGACGAGAACCATCCCATCCGAGGCACGTTTGGGCACTAGGGTTCAATCTTTTCGTGCAGCCTCATTCAGAAACATCTAGCTGACAGTTGACAGCGTGAGAAGTGTTGAGCTTCAGTGGTCAGAATCCGCCAGACAGTCAAAGTCTTCTAGGAGCGGCTCTTGAGCGGCTCTTGTTCGCTGTGCAAGTAAGGTACGGCACACGACGCAGAGCTTGATCAAGTCACAATCAACAAGCCACCGTCTAGGAAGCTATCGCTAGACCATTGGCTGGACTGGCCTGCATCGGAAGAAGCTTACAGAAGCCCTACTCCTCTTTTGTCTGTGCAGGCTCCTGGGGGTCGACGAGAGCAAGCCACCTGCGTATGGAGGAAAGCACTGGGAAAGCAAGTTGGTCGATGTTCGCAGAGCTACTCATCATGTCAACTGCCGCATGCCGTCCGTCCGTCTACACCATACCTGAACCTACGCTGCAGGATCCGGTGCTGCTTCAGATGAGCCTCTTTTCGATAAGGCTCCTCCGTGGGTAGCAGCGAGAGCTCTTGCTCGCTTGGCCATGTGATCAGCATGCAGAACTGTGACGGGTGTGTTCCGATAGACGACGCATCATGAGCCCGGCTCATCATCTGTCTGCATTTACACGTGCTTGCAGAGTAATCCCGTTGCAAGAAAGGTAACAACAGCAATAATAGCAGCAATAGTAATGCTTGTGACAATGCATCCTCTGCTGTATGCCGGTATCGCAGCATCTCTCTTCAGCTTCCCCTTGAGGAGCTGGCTTGACCTGCAAGAGCGCATGAAAGCAAGGACTGGTGGGAACTTGCTGGAATTCAGGGATCTAATCTCTCTAGCCGGGGTGTGGATGGTCGTTCATTCTATCGTGAGCACTTGGGTCGAAGAACACCTCTGGCAGTCCCAAGAATGTGGGCATTACCTTCGCAAAGTTCGTCCCGACCGCTTTTAAGGCACTTTCCGTCGTTGTCCGTTTGAAGAAGCCCTTGGAACAGCCTTCTCAGTCTGACGTGCCTGCGAAGCAAGTCGAAAGAAGTCCTGTCTGGACACAAAGTTTGATTGCTCGACAACACTTCTTCCTCAGATGCAAGAAGAATCATGGTACGAATAGTAATGACCTGAATTCTACTGGCAAGAATGGCAGAAATGGTAGTAGTCGTAATTGTCGTGCTACTGAGAATCCTAATGCTAAGACGAAGAAGGACAATAAAGAGCAATACTTGGAGGTTCATGGGTAGTTATAAGTAGGGTTATAAGTAGAGTAACTATAGACTATAACTATAACCCATATTAGGGGGGGACTTATAACCCCCACTTATAACTACCCATGAACCCCTCCAAGTACTCGCAATCATTTTCATGAGCAGACGTGGCAGGTTCGGACCTGACGAGGCAGATTGGTTTTTCTACAAGAGGACGCAGTCCGATGTGCTTGGTTGGGCTTGAGTACGGTTTAGGGTTTAGGGTTTAGGGTGGCAGTTTAGGGTTTAGGGTGCAACGGGTAGCAGCTGGTAGCAGTCAGCAGAGCGCATTGCGAGAATTCCCATCACTCCAAACCGGAGAGCGGAGCTTCCGGCTGTGTGTTGACTGCCCCTCAACAACCCTAGAGGCCGTACTCTGCTTACCACATCCCCACTTGGAGGTTCATGGGTAGTTGTAAGTAGGGTTATAAGTAGGGTAACTAGAATTATAACCCATATTGGGGGGACTTATAACCCCACTTATAACTACCCATGAACCTCCAAGCAACACCTGCCATGTGCGCTGCTTTGAGGACCGGCGGCCTGATGGCTGGGCCTGCAAGCATCGTCGAGGTAGGAGTTTACGAAGTCGCGATGCACGGATTCAGGGGACCGAAGAAGGAAGGCTGAAAGCGGGAAGCAGCAGGGCTCTACGAGCGTTCTATGAGGCTTGTACAGGGACCGATGAAGTGTTGCTGTCCAGGCGCTGGCCGAGAAGATTCATCGCGAGGTGCCAACGAAGCAGGGAGAGGTGCCGTGCCACGGGGTTTTGCGATAGTGTCGCAGAGCGGCGGAGTGCTGAAGCTTTCCAATCCTCCTGCGCTATGTTCTCCATTATTGCATAACGGCATCTGCGAAAAGGGATCTGAGCATAGAGGCAAGGCCAGGCCTTGCTTCGGCTTGAGAGGTCGAAGTCCTCACTGCCGCAGAAACTCCGGAGCGCTTCCCGCAGCTCAATCTGGACCCGAACGAGAGCCTCTGCTTCAGTTTGAGAACCCGGAGTCCGACCACTTGGAGGTTCATGGGGGTTCATGGGTAGTTAGAGGTGGGGTTATAACTATAGTTACCCTTCTTATAACCCTACTTAGAACTACTCTTGAACCTCCAAGCATGGTGGGGTTTTTGTCTCTCGGTCTGTTTGTTTGTTTTTCTGTTTGAGGGCTCCTGCCATGATGTTCCGGACCGAAGAAGGTCTCATGCTACTGGGGTTTCACTTCGTTGAGCGTCCAAGTGTCTGGTGCTTAGTAGGGAATGGGGGAATGGATCCCTATGATAGTCCCTTAAGGTCCCTTATAGTAGCCCCTATAACCCATTCCCCCATTCCCTACCAAGCACCAGACAGCCAAGGTGCTTGACATCAGTGTTCGAAACCCTCCACATATGAAGCACCACTCGAGCACCGCTCGACCATCGAAAGTCGACCTCCACATCCCCCAAGCCAACCAAGAACCGAAAGCATCGGCCAAAATCCAGATCCGACACCTAAATCCCAGATGAAAGATCTGCCAGCCTATATCCGTCAAAAACACCACGTACGTCTATCTATGCACAGGTGGATGTGCACCACACATGTATACAGACATGCCTATCTGCCTTTGTACATAGTACATATCTACATATACAAATGCGTACAGTTTTACATAGACACGTATATGCACATTATGCATAGACACACAAGTTCGTCTGTACATATGCTTCCTGAATGTGTAGTCAAGCTGAGGAAGCTGCTGTACATGCCCGAGGGCTACACCATGTCAGTGCCAACAACACTCCACAGCCTTCGTTGGGCGGCCGAGGCAAATAGTGACCGGAGAGCTGAGGCAGTAATAAGGGTCCCCCCCGATCCCGTCAGCCGGTGCACGTTGTCTGTACTTATTTTGGGCTCACGCTATGTTACAGAAACGACGGCAACGGGCAGCCAGAATGATGCTTGACCACACGTACAGCGACAGCCCGAGCACTGCTTTCAGCATCCATGCGGGCCTTGTAATCGAATATTGTTTCTTCGGTGTTTATCCTGGTGAACTGTGCTCGCCTGTCCGAGAGAGATGCATGAGGCCGCTGGCGCCGAGTATCAGGAAGACTCAGCGCGGATCTCGGCTTTCCAGGCGTATTCGGCAGATGCCGCAGTGGTTAACCCGCGCTGCGCTTACAACGTGTTGGGCCCGGCCCCCGAGGTTGTCAGCATCGACCTGCGTCGAAAAATGGTGTTCACCAAGGAGCAGAGCATTCGCTTCAGCATCCTGGGCTGCCGTTATGATAGTTCTTCGCATGATTTTGGCAGTAGCCCTGAGCTTTGGTTCAGCGCTGGCGACGACAGACAGTCTGCGCAGTGACAACCTCATGCAGAGAAACTGCTGGTCCCAAAGGTAGGACTCCTGTGGTGCCGGAGTGACGGGAAGCAAATCAGGTCAGGTCGTGATCACAGCCGGCCCATGGACGAATCGGATACTCCAAGGCCAAAGCTGAGCTTGATCATCAGCTTCTTTGGAAGACCCCTAATACCTAAACCCCAAACCCTGAACCCCACATCCCTAAGCCCTAAATCCCTCAGATCCCTAAACTCCTAAACCCTAAGCCCATGTTATAGCACCAAGTCCGTCTGACGCCTCGAAAATTACTCGATGCCCAGGTCACGAAGAAGTTCGCTTGAACTGCTGATAATCACTACTACTACTACTACTACTACTACTACTGCTGCTACTACTACTACTACTACTACTACGACTACCACTACGACTACGAC